ATCGCGGAGGGTTGAGGGTGTTGGTGTTGAGGGCTTTCAGGTTATGTAGGGACAACTTTCAGAAACCCCTTGGTTTGTAGGGCATGGAAAAGAAGATGGAAGCTACTACAGTAATGATTGAGGCTTTAGGGTTTGGAGTCTTGAAGGAACATGGGTTTCAGGACTAGACAAGGAAGTTAGTTTGTGTTTCTACGGTTTAGAGCCTTGAAAAACCTGAGTTTTTGCGGACGAGCTTCAGAATATACTTAAGAACTACTATCCCTAAACCCTCAACCTTAAACTATCCATTCCTCCGTCCCTAGAAATCACCAGTAAGCACCCTAAAAGGGAGAGAAAAGGCTTTCCAAACATCGTGGGCTCTTATTTGGGATTTCTCCATAATGGGGACTCTGGTATGTTGAGCGTCAAAGAGGGAAACCACATTTTTGAAAATACTCATGTAGGTGTAGGAATTAGGCTGTGCAGCAAACTTATGGTTGAGCGCTGGGGGGTTGGGGTTTATGAAGGGCTGGGGGCGTTGGTTCTGGAGCTTCGACTGGAAGATAGCTACTAGCATGTAGGTGAACAAGAAGATTCACAACGGACCATGACACATATCCACCCCCTCAATCCCCTTAAACCCTAGACCTGCGCCAGCAAGCCAATATAGCAAAGCTCTACTCCCTAAACTCTTACCAAGATAATCCGGAAGGAAGCCCCGGCACCTAATCTCCATACCGTGGATGGGGACATCCCGCACCACCCTTAGTTCGCTTGATCCTGGGCATTGTAATTCGTACTTTAAGGGCCCTAGGTGGTGCAAGATTTCTTCCAGCAACAGTATTGCGTGTCCCTGGAAACTGGGGGGGGGGGAGGCCCTTGAGGTTGGGGCTTATGGCTTAGGATTACAAAGGGTTTAGGATTCAGGGTTTAGGGATTGAGGTTGAGGGTTTATGGCTTAGGATTGCAAAAGGTTTAGGATTCAGGGTTTAGGGATTGAGGTTGAGGGTTTATGGCTTAGGATTACAAAGGGTTTAGGATTCAGGGTTTAGGGATTGAGGTTGAGGGTTTATGCTTAGGATACAAAGGGTTTAGGATTCAGGGTTTAGGGATCTACCTGAAGTTTCTGCTGTCATCTATTACCTCCAAACCCCTTTATACGGCTCAGTAGAGTCTTATGTACTCACAACAACAAACGGGTAAATCAAATGTTGCTTCAGATCGTGGACAGTTGAACTTGGTAAAGAAGGGTGGTTCTTCAGTCTAATTTAATTCACTTTGAAGGTGTTGCAAAATTGGATGGGGGGAGCCTTGGGGAAACTCATCAATGGTACACGCGGATTAAAAGGAGTCCTTTGGGATGGTTTTGAGAATCTCCAGTCAAAGGACAAGCTTTTTTCAAACCTGCATAACTCGATTTTGCGGATGCGTTGGCGCCGATTCTGTCCTTCCTATCGCTAAGCAGGAGTGGCGCCGACCGACCCCAAACATTTGGGCGTCATCACAGACAGGTCCTACACTTGCTGAAGCGCACATAGATTCAGGGAAAGTCGCAAGGGCCTCCCGTATCTCGCAAATTCACGTTTCCATCTAATTTCCAGCTCTAAACCCTAAACCGTAATTTTCCAGCACTATATGGCGAGCTTCGCACCATTTATTGTATTGATACAATACTAATTATCGACTGTTGCTGGGAGAGAGGCAGTACCCAAACCATCGGGTATTCTGTCCACGGAAATTCCAATATTCAACAGTTTTATAACATACCTTTGAGTTGCTTGAGCCATTGTAAAACTACTGTAATACAATATCGTAGAATTTAGTACAGTATAGTAGAGGATGACACAGTATAGAATAGTATTGTAGTGTAGAAATCATCATTTCCAACGGCTTTCAGAGTTCTAGATAGCAGATGTTGAAATTTATGGTCGATGGAATTCCATAATTCGCCGAGGCATCCAGCC